TATATATATATATATATATATATATATATATATATATATATATATATAAGTGGATCAATTGTACATGTATCGCTGGCCATTTTCACAATATGCTAAACAAGCAATTATTTTCTTTGCTTCTCATTTGCATCGCGGTGGCTACAACACCATCTATAGCTGCTGAGGATGCAATAACTGTGGTGACGTGCAGCACTGTGTATAGTAGACTCGAACCATGTCTTGGATACGTATTAGGTGGTGGATTAAGCGTGCCATCGGAATGTTGCAACGGAATTAAATCTCTCCACAGAGCTGCACGTACCACAGCTGACCGCCAACGCTTTTGCAGATGCCTTAAGAATGTTCGTTCAAATGCTACGAATACACGAATCAGCCGTGCTTCTCAACTCACTGGAATATGCAAGGTCAATGCTTTGTTCAAGATTAGGCCTGATTTTGATTGCTCTAAGGTCAAATAACAAACTTTTTTAAAAATAAGTTTTTACTTCGTAATGAGATTGAATATTTTTGTTTTTATGTTAATTCCAAGAAGCTATTGATGTGTGTGAGTATATATAATCTCACATAGTTTGAGTTTTTTTTTTTAAGCGTTGTTACGTTTAAATAAAACAAGTAAGTACTCAAGATATATTAGTCCGAATAATTAAATTAGCAGGTTAATCCAATTTGATTGTTCATTTAATAAGTTCAGTTTTAGACTAGTTACGTTTCATTGATTTGGGTCACGAACAGGGGCAGGCCTATATTGGTTTAAGTGGGTTCATATGAATCCATTTCGTTAAAAAATATCACCGTATATATGTGTATATTTAATTAGTTTTTGAATTATTATACGTATGTATTAAGTTTTGAACTCACTAACACAAGTGTGACCCTTGCCCAAGTGATGAAGACAGTTTAAATTTCCCAGCCAACCTGAGTTTGAATCCCTATAGCCACAGGTCACGAATAATGAACTCATGTTATTATGTTCTAGATGTCGTCTTTCTATGGGTCCAAACGTGTGACACACGTCAAAGGACGTGTCATGCTAAGTAAAATAAAAGAGTCAATAAAATCATGTCACATATCAAAATAACACAATATGCATAGTCAAAATCAAACGACATTACATATACATACAAGTGACATGTTTTGACCAATCAAATATCATCATGTCAATTCAAATCGAATTGGGCAAAAGAAGTTTTGTCTTTGCCATAACTCTTTTATTCTACAACTATACAAGTATGCTCTTCATAATTCAAAAAAGGAGTCGGATATTGATATCAAGAAGCAAGAGAGCAAATGAAGAAAGGTAGTTATTTCTCAATCTAAGCCAAGATTCAAACAACGTTAGAGCAAAGATTATAGTTCGTAACGTGAAATTTAAATTCATTATTTGTGAAAAATATCCAAGTGTTTGTAGCAAATAAGTCTAGTCAAGTTCAAGACAAAAATTAATGAAGACCAAGCTATTTCACCTCTTCAAATTTAAATTTATCATAATTTATTTTTATGGTTGTTGGAAGGATCAGAGGAATATCCTAAAAATTGTAATTAAAATTCATTATATTTGAAATCAAATATGTTGATTGTTGCCATATTTTTCCTTTCAAATTCAAGTTTATCATAATTTATTCTTATTGTTGTTGGAAGAATCAGAGGAATATCCTAAAGATTATAGTTGAATTCGAATATTATGATTATTGCTGTATTTTTCCGTCTTGATGATTAATTTTTTCTACACAAATTTTATCATCTACAAATTCTGACATGTCTAGTGAATCCTTCATCTCATCTCCACAAATCATATTTGCAAATCTCAATTCAAAAAACCACAAAGATGAAAGCTCTATTTATGGGTAATATAATTCAAGTCACCATTCCGAGTGTTAGGATATATTTGTAATGTAGAATATTATGTTAACAAAAAAACATATGGAGTCATTTTTGCATCCTTGACTTTCATCTAGTCTATACTCCAAATAGCCTTGAAGTAGGGACGTTATTGATAGATAATGAAATTTTGTGAGACTCTACTAGATAATTTCAATTTCATGTAAAGTTCTTGGAGATTACTCTATCCTGACTCTAACTCAAGTATATATAAAGAGTACTATATTTCCTTAAAGAAGAATATCGAATATTTCATAAAATCTTGGGATGTTCGTAATGAGATCAAGATATAGTCATAGCCAGATTCTTCTTGAAAATCAAATACTTCAAGAAGATTCACGAAATCTTATTTACATGGAGATCAAATCATTTTCTAGGAGGTCCAAATTATCCTATGTTCGAAAATACGTCACTAATAATCCTTGAATCATAGATAAAATTAGAGAAAAAAATCAAGGGAAGAACATAATTGTACTCATATTATTTTGACAATAAAATTATGTTTCTTTCATATTTTATTTGTATTTGTAATTTATTATCACTTTAAAATTTATTTGCAAACATATATATCAGTAATTATGACTTTTATAAAAGATAAAATATGTCTTAGATTAAACGTAACATCCTTGTTGGATAAATAAACTTTACCAAAAAAAAAGGCTTATAGAGAATAAAAAAATAATTAACATACTTTCAAGAATAGGTACGTAATTTCATTTATAATCAGAGGAGAGAAACCTAAAGTCATTTTTTTTTTGTATGATAAGAATTACTTCTTGGGTTATGTTTAGGGGAACTACAATGACGAGTTGTGATAATAATGCTGTAAATTTGTGAATTTTGAAGTGTTTACTCTATCTTCCTGGACATATATATTTACTGTGTCTTACAATATCACTCTTTTTCTTTATATATAAAATTGAACATTCTAGTAGTACGAAACTATCAACTACTTTATTTAATGTATGTGCAATAAAAATATTTAACTACATGATTGATCGATATTTATTGATATGGGGTAACATAACTAATCAATTACCGTATGATATATGAGGCCAAATATCTCTGGTGTCTTGATATGGGCTAACATAACTAATCAATTATACAATACATTTTTTTGGGTTTATAAATAGCTATATACATTCATAAACAAAAATCACAAGTACCATTACCACCAATGTCAATCAAGCAACTATTTCCTTTGCTTCTTCTCATCTGCGTCGCGGTGGCTGCCACGGCCACGGATGCAGCTGTCACGTGCAACACGGTGTATACTGACCTCGAACCATGTCTTGGTTTTGTGTTAAATGGTGGACTTACCGTGCCTTCAGCATGTTGCGGTGGGCTTAAATCTCTGCTCGTTGCTGCGGGTACCACAGCTGACCGTCAAAGCGCTTGCAAATGCATAAAGAGCCTTGCTTCAAGTGCTAATGGAGTTCAAATTGGCCGTGCTACTCAACTCCCTAGAATATGTAAGGTTAATGTTCCTTACCAGATTAGTCCAAATGTTGATTGCTCAAAGATCACATAACACACATTTTCTATGACTTTATTTTAGTGAGTGTGGAATATTTATGTACCTTTATTTCCTATTAAATAAAACTTCATAATAATATCACATTTTGTATGCTTTCTTATTTTACCAATTAGTCAAATTTTGCTATTTGAATAAATAATTTCTTCCCCCTTTTTTAATTGTTTGTTATATTTATCAAACTCTCAATTAAATCTGATCACTTATTTGAAACCATTTACTTAACAATACAACATAATACAGTACGATACTTTTGTATCAATCATTTAAATTAAGTGTTAACTTGTCCATCCGATGAAACCAGATCCACTAACCTTAAATCGTGAATTGAAGGCGTCAATGCCACTGATTATTTTTGCTCTATTTTTCTCGGTTGTTTTGCGGTGGAGGAGATGAATGTTTCAGTGGTGTTTGTGGGTGGTTACCACCGCATCTCCACCAAGTATGTCAATTCACAGTGATTAGGTGGGTTACAAATATGCATTACTCTCGAATGATGGTTGAAAAGAGTTAATATTGATACTTTTATACGGAGTCAGAATTAATTTTATACGGAGTCAGAATTAAAAGCTTGAGAGTACTGAATTTTAGAACAGAGGAGAAAAATATTGTAAACATATTTTTTTTAAAAAAAAGAAAGAGAAATTTTTGTTAATATAGTGGTATTTGAACCCAAACACTAGTGCGGAAAATATTTTCACGGCCCTTTTCTTATCATGAAGCTGTCAATTAATTTTTTATGAGATTCATAAGTTAATCATATATTAATAAAAGTGAAAACAAAAAAAATTAAAAATTAAAATATCATTTTACCACTATATTAAATAAAAATATTATAAAATAGCTAATCAATTACATATTGAATTATATTATACTGCATTCAAAAAGTGGAAAGTTGTTAAATTCAAAAGAAAAAAATAGTCATAAAATTGTTACAAATTTTTATATTTTTAAAATATAAATTAGTTACATTTTCAAAAAAAATGTATATTTTTTATTTTTCTCATTCAATTTACCTAATATATATATATAGCACTCTTTAATAATCTACTTCTACTTACTTTATTTAAAAAAATTACTCTATAATTCACACCTTTCATTTTTACAACTTTCACTACATAATAAAGGGTGGTGAATTAGAAAGACATTAATGTTTACATTCATCTTAATGCATTAAATGAATAACAAATTTAAATTAACTTTACACATTAAAATATACACGAGCCCTAATTCTAATAACCAATACCCCTCATTTTATTATTGCATTAATACTTAGAAATAAGTCAAATAATTACAACCCCCAAACTCTAATAACCTAAACCCCCTAATTTCTTCGCTTCATTGATAAAATATTTTCTAATAACTACAGCCTACTCAATTTTAATAGCTAAACTCACATTTTTCGGCTACATATTTCTCAATTATTGCATACCCAATGGTAGTTACATATACATTTATGATGATTATTTACCTACATATTTTTATTTTCTTCGTGAAATATTTTTTAACCTTAATTAATACATTCGAATATTTTTTCAATTTTTTTTACTAATATATTTGTTATTTTTTTTGTTTTGGTTTTATGAAACTTATACCCTTTCATTTATTTATTATTATTTTCTTTTACTTGCTTTAAATATCCACATATACCTAATATCTAAGTACCTATTTAATTGCTACTATATATATATATATATAACTTTCATACTTTTCATGTTTACGACCTCTAAATATTTAAATTGAGATTTTAACATAACTTTTGGTGTTCCTCCAATTTTATTTATATAAATCATCTTCTTTTTTTACATGAGATTCTTAGGTATTCTTTTCATTCTACAGTTAAAGTAGTGAAACATTTATATCATTTTTGTTCTATTGATTTGTTCTTTAGTTTGACTCGATAAAGAAGGATCTTGATTTTTGATTGGCTATAATAGGAGTAAACAAGAAACCGAAAAATTATGTACTATTTCTATATTCTGTTTCGAATTTGAGCATTGAATATGAAAAGTTTTTTGATAGGGAACGTCCCTCTAAATGGGGCCATACGCGGGCCAAATTCAAATACAATTAAACTTCAATATGAATATCAAACACTAAATAAAAATAAAAACAAATAAATTTTTTTGAAGAAACTGAAGATAAAGAGCCAAAAATAAAAAATTGAAGTATTAGTTTTTTTTTTTGCGTGTGCTGAGAAGTATGGTAAATATTTATTTTTATTACTGTATACACTGACAATTATCTTAATCTTAGTTATCTAAAAAAAGGACTAAAACGGCATACTTAGATGTGTCCGGTATGAAAAAAAAATTATTTTCCAAATTTTTCATGCTTTATAGTTCAAATATTTTTGTAAAAAAATATTTTTTTTAAAAATTAGAAAACTTGCTTGCAAAAGTTTATTTGCTCCAGTAAGTGTGAATACATTTATAGATGAATAACACGTGTCTTGGTAAATATGAAAGGCTGAGATTCTCTTTTAGTTTATAACCTATTTTTGGTTACATTTAATTGTTGTATCACATAAACATTATAAATATTTATAACGTTAAACGATATAAGGCGTTGGTCTAAGATTCTACGTGGAGAAAAATTATAAGATTACAAAGGTACAATTAAAAATAAAGGAAGAAAATAAAATTTCCTCAGGTAGAGCCATAAATATTTTGTGATACAAATATTTTGCTTTTCTTTAAGAGGTTTAAATTTTCTGCAATAAATAATTTTTACCAATTTAATAATCGTTCTTTTTAACTCGTTCTCACCATAACACAACCATCTACTCACAAACTATAACTCTTGTGGGAAACAATTGAATCCAAAAGATTGACAGCAACATGGAAATGCAATATTTTGACCCCAAAACTAAGCAAATTAATTAGAAAATATTAATATTAAAATGCTAGCAAATATTTAAAACAAACATATGAAAAAATCTTTTTTACAAATAAACAAAACCTATTTGTCTCAAAATTGGAAAACAAGAAAATAAAAACTATTATTTTGATTTAATACTCCATAAAAGAAGACGACAAAATTAATAACCATTTTAGTTTTGTCAATTGCAGACTGAAAATAGTGTTGACCATTAAATGGAAAGAATCTCAGCCTTACATATTCTACCAATGCATTGACACTTCTTGGAGCAAAGCCGCTCCCATCAATTTGCGTAAAAGATTAGTATAAATAGTGTTTCATCTTCTCTTATTAAGGTTTAGTCCTTCTCTTTAGTTTTTGTTATATGTTTAGTGTATTTGGATTACTACACTATTTTAATTTTATTTTTGATTTTTGATTTTTTATATTTTTAAAAAGATTTTATACTATTTTTCTTATTAAAGTGCTATCTTTTTTTTCGTTGTTTCTTTTACTTTTACTTGAGATTGATGTACATAATTAAGTTAACGTCTTTTAAAATTATTTTCTCTACTTAATATAAAATAATAGTAATATCCGTCGTACGCTTTAGTCTAGCCAAATTTCATTTTAAGAGATTTTATGGAATATGTTGATGTTGTTGTTGGGTATAATTTATAAACACAAAATAAAAATAAAATCTCCTCAAACTATTCACAGAGGATGAATAAACAATTAATATATTTCCAACAATCGGTATACCGTTATTAAAGCAGTCAAAATTACATTAAAAAAGACACTATTACCAATAAAATCAAGTAACAATAATTAAAAAAACATAATTGTTATTAGTTGGAAGTTGGGAGCCAGACAAGGTGGGGAATGAGAAAGCATGGAGGGTAAAGAAATGAGGCCAAAAACGTTTGGTGTCTTACTACATGGCCCAACTTGATATATCAATTATCATACCGTGTGTTCATAAATAGCTACACACATTGATAAGGAAATTACACATTAAGAGTGGCCATCTCTACAATGTTAAACAAGCAACTATTCCCTTTGCTTCTCGTTTACGCTGCGGTGGCTGCAGCCGCGGCCACCGCTGCTAAGGATGCACTGGTTACGTGCAACATGGTGTATAGTAGCCTCGAACCATGTCTTGGTTACGTGTTAGGCGGTGGATTAAGCGTCCCATCAGAGTGTTGCGGTGGAAGTAAATCTCTCCTCAGCATGGGATGTACCATAGATGACCGGCAAAGCGCTTGTAAATGCATAAAGAGCGCTGGTTCAAACGCTAACGAAGCTCAACTCAGTCGTGCTGCTACACTCCCTAGAATTTGTAAGACCAATGTTCCTTTCAAGATTAGTCCACATGTTGACTGCTCTAAGGTCAATTAAGACACTCTTTTTGTGAATTTTAGTTGTTTTATTTATGTTATTTTTGGATGCATGTGGTTAGATTGATTATGTTTGTTAGTGAGAGTGATATATATATATTAGGATTTTCTTCATTTTGAGATTCCAGGTGTTATATAGTCAGCTAGCTAGGCTAAGGGCAGGGTCGGATTTAGGCGTGCGGGTGGGAATGTCATGACATCCAATGTTTACGGAAAAAAAAGTTTTATACACATATAAATATGTATAATAAATGTCTATATATTACTTTTGTCATCTAATGACAATAGAATGGAATTAGCCCAATTAGCAAAAGGGAGAGTTTGCCACCATGTCAATCTGGGTTCAAATCAAACCTCAGTAACAATATTTAATTTTTTTTGTTTGCTACTTTTTTTTTTTCTCCATTCATTTTTATTTATTTACTATTCTTTATTAATTCAAAATTGATACTTTTTTATAATTAGTTTTTATTTTTTACTTTTTTTTGCTCTAATTATTAATCTATTGATTTGAGTGTAACATGTTTATTTTGTTTTATCAATTAGTAAGTACTGAATTATGAGTGTCAAATAAATGTTATTAAGAATATATCTAAATAATAGTTTTTAGAAAAAACGTACATTTCAATTTTTTTTAAAAAAATTAAAGGTTCTTTCGATCTTCCCCAACGTTTTTCTAAATAAGATGAATAGGCTGAAGCTACAATTTTTATTATTTCCAAACTATATATCTCCAACAACACATAAAGTTAATAAGAGATAAATATATTATGTTAATATTATTAGATGGTTTATACAAGCTCAAATTTTAACGTGACTTTTTTTCTTCTCAAAGTTTCAACAAATAAAACATTTAATTCCAAAAGAAAATAAAAATTGACTTGTTTAGTTATTTCTGATCACATAATATCTAAAAGAAAATATTATTATGGGCACATTTGGTCGATTTGTTTATAAAATAAAATAAAATTAATAACCTGAATTGTGACCCAAAATTAAAGCAACCAAACCTTTTATCTTACTTGAATGTTGTGACACCCCCGACCTTCAAATTCCAGATCCGCCTCTGGCTAAGGATTCACTTGAAGACCAACAATGATTTTCGAGTGCCGACCAAGTCCAGGGTGTAAGATCTGAACGTGTTAAATGTAACGAAAAAAATGTTAAAATGTATACATATATTGTACTCATCAAAACGATATAATATAATAAAACACAACATAATACAATATATTATAAAATCATATGTAGTATTAACCATCGAAACATAAATTCAAAGTCTATAAAGACCACTCATATATTTTTCAATAAAAATAATATAGTACAGTACAATACAATACAATACAAAGCAACACAATATAATACATTATGAAATAATAAGTAATAGCCATACAAATATAAATTCAAAATATTCAACCACCCACACATACGATACATTCTATTCGTCAAAAAGATATAGATAAATTTTCATAAACTAATTTTTAAAGACCACAACAATTCTTGAGATTAAATCCAATTTTAGCACCTAAAATAATGTATTTCTGAAATTCAAGCAAGTTAAAAGGCGTGAAGATTAAAAAGTGATCTTCATCCACTAATTCTTTTGAAATAATTGAATAGAAAATATATCTCTGTCTTTTGTTGTTACTACTCTGTGTTCAGAAAATGTCAAACTATTATTTGTCCTCTAAATCCACAATATTGACACATGAAAAGCATTAGTGTTTCTTTTTTTTTTTAAAAACGAATAGCACCTCAAGGGATGTTACAAAAATAATTTAATCTAATATAAATATTAGTTAATTTTTTCACCATAGAGTCCACATCTTATTCTAATCACATACAAATAATTTTTTTGTTACTTCAAAAGTGCTCTGATTTTAGCTTCTAGTTGGGCCTGAATAATTAATCATACAAAAGAATCTCTATTTCTTTTATCCTCCTCTTCTATAGCAATAACCCATCTCCCACACAAAATAATAAAAAGATAAGCGTTAAAAATACTCATAAATAAGTAATTTAAGTTTATTTTTTACCTTGATATACAAAAATAAATAATAACTTACCATAAAAATATCTGCTGATAAAACAATATAGGAATTTGGTGAAGTATATTATTGAGCTCAATTCACTCTTTATTTTTTTAGAGAACTTGCAATTCATTTTATTTTATTTAATTATAGTCAAGTCGCTGCAATCTGGGTGAGGTAATTTTGATTTATTCTCATCTCACCTTTAGTTACCTTGTAATTAGTATATCTTGTGTTTCATCGAAAAAAGGTGATTTTCGACTTTTAGGAGTCGCCACTTAATTTTTAAGAAAAATTAAGAAAACTCATTCTCAAAACAATTCAAACAGAAAAAATTGTTTTGAAAATATTTTAGGGGGTTCGGGATTCTTATTAGTGTCTTAGGAAGGTGTAAGGCACCTAAGACACCCCGCTAACTTACGGTTTTCCAACGATTAACTTATTTGACTATTTTGTTTTAACTTTTGCGGATCATTTGTTATTAAGCTTATTAGACATCTATTTAGTCAATTTATCAAGTTTGAAATTCTTATCTTGCAATCGTGAATCTTTACGAATTTAAACTTTTATCTAGACAAGTATTACAAGTTTTGACATGCTATTATTTATCTTGCAAATCTTCATTTAAGGTCAAAGCTTTTGAACTTAAACGAACTTGCGAAATACTGTTGTTTTAAGACTTCGTTAAGGCTAAACCTTTTAAACCTTGATTTTTAGCAACTTTTAAATTTAAACATCTTTAAAGTTCAATTTTAGTTTTGAATTTGATAAAGCGAAAAGGGCGTTTGATGGGGTTTGGAGTTACTCTAACCTTAAACTAACGGCAATCTAAAAAAACAACATAAGCGAATAACAAGGAGAGAGAGAGAGATTCGGGTCCAAGTTTCGGATGCTGTTCGCCTTGGCCGAAACTCGGACCCACCCGCTGTTGGGTTTTTTAACCCATTTTGTACCTGTCCTAATCTGAACGTACAAAATAAAATATAAGAAATTAAAGAAAAGCGACAAGGGCTTATGCCCATTACAAATAAAACAGAGAAAATAAACATAAGGAAAGTCTGCTAATCCCTCTCCTTTCAATTTCTTCAATTCTTCAAAGCATTGGACTCTCGCATGCTTGCTTCGACTCAATGGCAAGAAGTTTAGAGCCTTTATGGCTCTCTCGGAATAAAGAGAACGAGAGTTTAAAAATAAACTCATGGCAGTTTTACATGCACAAAGAGGAACAGTGATTAGAATCTCATATGACAAACAGAGATAAATGCAAGGCAAATCACATTAACATCCCAAATAATCACAACAACACGAATTAGACTAAGACATAGATAATTAATATAGGGAGACAAATTCTGAAGAAACTTAACCACATCGAATCACGCCCTTTACCACATGACAATCTACTTAAGCAAAGGACAAAATGGCAAATATAGAATCACAATACTAAGTGAAAATAAGCAACTGAGTTGTTCATTCCATACTTTAAGTTGATATGTGACACAAACATATTTGCATGGTAAATCCAAATGACCTCAAATATTCTTCACAAACTTTGAAACACAGTGAGCATGCGTATTCTGAAGCACTTGAGTCAAAATCTAACAGAAAGGAAATTAACCAGCCACTCAACTTGCGATAAACACATAGAGAAATCAGACTCGAATATCACATAGAGCCATGCGAGGTACATAATCCTTTAGAGGTTGAAACTAAAGATGACGAAGAGGATGATTTAAACATCTGACTAACTACGCTAACGATCAATGGAGACTCCAAAACTCACAAGAGGTTTAACTAATACGGAGCCAAAACAAAGGGACTGCAAACGAATCAACAAGCCTGGACCATAAGTGAATAAAACCAAAACATGGAATTTTAAGGCGAGACAGCAGTTTATACCGCCTACAAACAGTCTAAACAAGGCCGACGTAAAGACACTCGACCGAAGAGGAACCTAAGATCACAACAAGCAGGCCAAAGCAGAGTCGGAACAGAGAAAAACCCGCAAGCATTTATCGTATTTGCGCCAATGTTTGAAACAGAATGCAAAAGTACCATCTAAACTTAGCTGAAAAAAAAATAGTTAACTTATCACCAGAACAGCTTGCGAGACAAATTTAGAGTCAGCATACGTCGAACTCTCTTTCCCTAAACAGAGCAACATCTATTCCCCAAAATTCAATCCCATTCCGAAAACGGAAGGGGAGAATGGACGTTCTCGATCAAAACCTTGTCCCATAGACACCACGTGGCGTCATCTCGCCATCTCAAGGACGAGCACGCGAGCCTGCCTTCGCTGAAAAGCACTGCGCCAGCAGAACGAGGCAGAGAGGAGACTTCGGGGAGGGGTAGGGGGAGAGAGAGGAAGAGAGCGTGGGGAGACGGGTCGCGTGTAAAGAGAGACGATTTCCGTTTATGGAAGCTGTTTCTCCTGCGTTTTTTTTTTCTGGGTTTCTTGACGTTTTCCTGTTGGGAATAGCGTGGGTGGAGGGAAAACGAGTAGGGGAGAGATCGAGGGAGCGTGGGGAGAGACGCGAGGGGGAGAGAGGGTCGTGTTTTCCATTTTGGGGTCTGTTTCCCTCTGTGTGTTTTTTTCTGGGTTCTGTTTCTTCCTGGGAATAGCGTGAGTGAGGGGGAAGAAGAAAGGGGGAAAGGGGGTCTGGTTCGGGTCGGGTGGCGGGTCGTGGGGCTGGGTCGGAGGGTAATTAGAAGGGAAGGTTGGGCTTAGGCGTTGGGCTGGAAATTGGGTTTGGGTTTAATTTAGTGGGTGTTTAAATATGTATTGGGTTGAGGAGGATGGGGTGGAGTGGGCCTAGGTCAAAATGGGTGTCAACATCTTGACACAGAGAAATTGAAATTCAAGATTTCATCAATGTAATTTTTTATTCCAAGACTGTCCAAAAATTTTTTTGTCACCATTTCATTCAATTCCATAAGTTGCTTGAAGTAGGACTTTGCCACATTGTTACCAAATTAAAATATAAAAAACTTATATAAATAGTAATGCAAAATTGTGATATTACTCAATATAATGTAAGAAAAGCACTTAGGGTTGACAAGGAAAGATAATCTCAGGATATGTTTTCTTTACTTTTTCTGATTTTGCGATCTGTTAGATCTTCTATATCTTGTTTGTATCCCTTATTTCATGTAATCGTCTGATTCTTTTTATTTAATTTTTTTGTACTGTAGTAATCTCTGCTCCCCCTTGTGTATTTATAGTTAATGTAATATACAAAAATATAACTTTCTGCAAAATACTTCTCTCTTTACGGTATCAGAGCAGTTCGCGCTCTAACGAGTTCCCGATCCGGTACTTTTTTTTCCCACCAAGTCTAACAACTTGCACAACAATATTTCGATTGTGCAAACTCCAGCCAATCCCACCACCAGTAACCAAAACTCAGGTATCTCCCCCTCTCAAACAATCATGAATCCATTAAATCAAGAAAGTCAACGTGTTTCCATCAATCAGCTCACTCAACTGCTTATACGGCTTGCTGGCAGCACCAACTATGTCATCTGGAAGGCTCAATTCGATGCTTTTTGCGTTGGCTATGATCTGAGTTCCTACATTGATGGTACCTTTCCTTGTCCATCTTCAACTTATCCAAACTATCAACCGTGGATGCGATAAGGCAATTTTTTTTGTCATGTTCTTATGACTTTTGTTGATCCTACCATAGCCCTCTGATTGCATCTGCATCTTGTGCACATTGCTTGGACGAAATTAGGGCAACAATATGCCAACAAAAGTCAAATTTGTATTTACAGTCTTCGTGATTCGCTCAACCGCCTTATGAAGGGAACCAAGTCCATTGCTCAATATCTCAATGAGATTTGAGCCATTTCAGAAGAACTTACCAACTCAAGAAGAATTTGATCTACTGGGTATGAATTGAGTTCTCAATTTGTGAGAAAATATGAAGAAGCTGACTATTTGAAAAGTTTAATAAATTAAAAATTAATGTATTTGACTTTTTATATTTTTAGCACTTCATTTTGCATGTGAAACAAAAAATGATGTGGAATTCTATGTTTAATCGCGTTCATTACACGTACACTAACCAAACGAGAAAAGGGCTTAAAATGTTGTAGTTTAAGGGTCTATGACTATAAGAATTTAACTGACAAACAAAGTCAAGTACAGAAGTCTTTCAGGTAATTCCACCTTAATCTTATCCCTACCCATGCCCCCACCCGACCCTCCCCATTCAATAAATAAATAAATTTAAATTTAAATTGTCTTATTTTTTAAATTTCAAACATATTTTTATCCCTACCACCAAACTAGCTCCCCCTCTCAAACAAAAATAAAAAAAATATTTTTGTTAAAAAAATTTTAAATTTTTTTTTAAATTTTAAGATTTTTTACCCCCCCCCCCCCCCAAACCTTCTAAAAAAGAATTGCTTTTGAAAAGTATTTTAAATTTGATATTTATATATGTATAAAAAAAAATTATGCCACCCCCTCCGCTACCACCTCCCTCAATAGTTGTCTATTAAGAATGTATTTGGTACAGGAAATTCTTTTTGAGAAAAACAAACAGATTTTTAATATGTGTTTTTAGGAAGGATCCTTTTAGGTCGGTAGGGTCCAACAAAATTATTTGATTTGAGACACATTAATTAGAACTTTTTTGAGGCAGCATTAATTAATCAATAGAAAGAGGCAATGTGTCGTTAAGTTCTCAAGACAACTAATATATATATTATTATATGCATAAGGATAACAATGAGACAGATAAGACGGTTACGAGGCAAGCCCACGTGAACCCACTAAATTTTCTACCTGCCCCGCATAAACCCCTTTGCCCTAGCCCACAAAATTTATTAGAAGTTTCAAATCCTAGAAACAAAATTTTTTTAACCAAAAATCACATTTTGTTAACTACTTATTTTTTTATTTGACGGCTAAAATTAATATGTTGATAACTTTTTTTTGGTAGTTTAAATTGGCTGAATTTGGTGTAATAAAAAAATATCAAATATAATAGTAATGTAAACAAGTACTTTTTTTTTCTTTAAATTTTTGGGTCATTAAAACAATTTCTTTTCCGAAGAAAAAAGAAAATTCCAAACTGATGCAACACTGGTACAAAAATTAATGTGAAATTAACTTTTTTGAAACATATCTGGCTCGGGTGAATTTTGAAAAATTATATTTGAACCTGCTCTGCCCCGCTCCACACCCACAAAGCTCTAACCCGCCCTGCCCCGCAAATGACGCAATTCGCTCCGCTTTAATGTCATTTTTATATATTTTCTTTTTTTGTAAAACATTTATTTCTCTCCTCTTTTTAAACTTTATTGTTGATTAAATGTCCTTTCATTTGTACGTTTTATTTTTTTTATTTGTTATTTGACTTTTTTCATTTGTTTTGGTAATGGTCCAAAATTAATTTATTCGGGAAAATGAAAAAAAATTCTTTCTTAAGTTTACTTATTACCGTTATTCCTTATTAGTTTTAGAAATACAAAAAAATCCTTATTTTTAAGTCAAATGAGGCGGATACAAAAATGTGACAAATGAGGCGGATACAAAAATGTGACAAAAAATGAAACGGATACAAAAATGTGACAAAAAATGAGGCGGATATAAAAATGTGATTAAAAATGAGGCGAATACAAAAATGTAAAAATGAGCCGAATACAAAAATTGTGACAAAAAATAAGACGGATATAAAAATGTGACAAAAAATGTATAATATATCTGTCACCTTTTTACTGTATCATCCCTATTATGTATCCGTGTTTTTGTATAACTTTTAAGAGATTTTGGTCATTAGAAACTTGCAAGGGAAAATGGTCACTTTGCCCTAAAAGTATGTTATTTATGTACTTTACCCTTATTTTAAATACAAGACACTTGAATTTAATTTGAAAACAATTTTTTTAAAAAAAAGACAATAAAATAAAACAAATAAATAAAATCAATAGAAAAAAAAAAGCAATGAACAAAGATTAAAAAAAAGTTTAAATACAAGGCAACAAGTTTTTGTGTATTAACTTAATTCATATTACAATAGATAATGTAAAAAGGCTGTGGGGCAAAGCTACATCGTATGCTACACTGTGATAGAACCTCTCAAAGTAAAGATTCATAGGATTCAATTCAACATTTTTTGTTCAGATTTGATTATGTGTTACTTATAAATCAGAATAGAACTTATTGTTGGATAAACTATACTGTTGATATTAATCCAAATAAAAGAGTATAGCCACGAATGATCAACTATCAAACTGTATACAAAAGTTGAGTAGGTTCGATTTATTATTATATGGAAAAATCCATTTGGCTAAAATGGTAAAATAATATATTTCATATTAAGTTATTTTATTTTTTAAAAATATTTTTACTCTTTTAACTAATATCTTTTAATTAAAGAGTGAAAAAATTCAATTTATTTTAAAATAAAAAAAATATTATACATTTTTTAAATTACTTGCCAAATATGCTGACTTAGACAAAACACGTTTCTCATCAAATTCGTCAAATATTCGTAAATAATACATGTGTTCGTTGACATGGTCACATTGACCAAACTTTTTGCTGCCAAGCATTTTTATGAGTTAATAATTTATATTATCGCTCTGACTAGTAGTTTTTAAAAGTGATTTGTAACATTTTTTTGGATATGCATTGGGGGTTAAAGGGTACATAGTTGATAATATAAAAAAGCCTTAATTTACCAATATAAAGATTACGCACGGAAGAGGTATTCCCAGCGCGCGGAGGTTCCGTTGAGAGTTTGTAGTTGAGTAGCAAGTGTTTTTTCATTTATAATCAGAGATTATGAGTTGGAGTCTCTCTAAATACGGAATCATCTTTATTAAAGAGCGCGTGCATTTACCTTTAACGTGAGACTTCTCAGCGTGAGTCTAGATTTAGACTTTCAGTTTGAGTCCGGACACCAAGTGAAAAACTAACATATATATATTTATATTAATTTCATATTTTTGTGCTTATCATTTTTTACTATTTTATTGTTAAAAGAATGATTCTACGAAATCGAACAGTCTAATATGAAACCTACTATATATATCAAACTCGTTTCGTACTTCACATGTTTGACGTACTTCACATGTAGGCCGAATACCTTTGGTGTCTTTAATATATATGGCCCAACTTAACTCGTCAATTATCACATCTTTGGTGTCTACATTGATTGATTAGCAAATTACAAATCGATGGCCATTTCCCCAATAATGCTAAACAAGCAACCATTTCCTATGCTTCTCATTTGCATCGCGGTGGTCATGGCTACAATTACAGCCACGACTTCTCAGGATGCAACTCTTACGTGCAACACGGTGTTTACAACCCTTGAACCATGTCTTAGTTACGTGTTAGGTGGTGGATTAAGTGTGCCATCAGAGTGTTGTAATGGGATTAAATCTATGCTCAATGGTGCGTATACAATAGCTGACCGCCAGAGCGCTTGCAAATGCATAAAGAGCGTTGTTTCTAGCGCTGCCCCAGGTCCAGTCAGCCGTGCTGCTAAAGTCCCTGGAATATGTAAGGCCAATGTTCCTTTCAAGATTAGTCCACATGTTGACTGTTCTAAGACCAAATAACACACTTCTTTTTTTTTTTTTTTGTTAATTTTAGTCATTTTATCTGCCTTGTTATTTTTTAGTACTGCATAATGAGATTGAATATGTTTGTGTTATATAATATCATTTTTGTAAGCGTTGTTTCAGAAATTAATCAAATTGGTATTTGAATGAATAATTTCTTACTTTTTTTTTTGGATTACCTTGACATATACTGTTAGGACCGTAAATAAGCAGGTGTATACGCGGAAGCTAGCAAAGCAAACCTCGAAAGAACGAAAAATATATCAAAAGACACAAAGATTTAACGTGGTTCGATCAATCAACCTAAGTTCACAAAGGAGATGAGCAATCCACTATAAATATAAGAGTACAAAATACAGAGAGAAACAACTTCAACCAATTCACTCGGAATACATGGGAGGTTCACACAAGTGATAACGTATCAAGCTTGTGACCCATAAATTCTCACCCTAACCAAAACTCTCAAAACCTTTAAGACTACATTTTGAATGCTGATTAAGTTAGAACGAACATTCCTCTATTTATAGAGTTCTAAACCTTTTCATATAAGAAAAAAGGATTAGTTAATCCAAAACCTTTTTCTAAAAGGAAAACCCATTTATGGTAAGAAATCAGGGCAAATAAAACCCAACATATACAACAAATAACACGTAAGTTATGGTCGATCTCGACTGTATCTGATGTAATAGATGTCCCGATGGTCTTAACCTGGACTATATGTTAGTTTGATATATTAATAAAACGGTTTTGGACTTAACATGCCTACAATTTTGACTGTCACACACCTTGTCCCAGTTCTCTTCGTCGATTCCTCCACGTTCAGAATAAGCTTACCAAGCGATCTCCAAGATAATATTAAGATAAAACTCTTCATTGTGGGGGATGAATGGCTCAACATGAAGATTGTGATGGGACCTTTGCATCCGCCCATCTCCACCTGTCAATTAATGTGATGAAAACAAACATGAACAAATAATCCAAGACAAGGGCATGATTATAGGTTAATAGTTCATGTAAAGCAAATCACAAATACACTTGGTGTTTGGCAATTTCATTAAAACTTGAGCAAGATCAAGATTCAAGGCGACTAGTCCACGCTTGCCAAACAACATATCAGGCTTTACAACCAACTCAAGGATCTTTCTCTGCTAGCTCATTGATATGAACTTTAACTTTTGGATGTACATAAGTAGACACTTAAACAAATAGGCACATTCGTCCTACATGACAATTTTGTGTTCTACTTGGCATCCTATATGGATTATGTCACATAGGACTCATGTGTCTATTTGTTCAGTTTTATATAAGTTATAGACTAGTACTGATGCACACTCCAAGTTAAAAGGTTATGATTGTCAGTTGAAGCTAAGTTAAAAATTATGTGTATGTATTATGCCTCTACGAATTATATTCATGATCGTTGTTGATCCTTGGTAATCTTAATATCCTTACACCTAAGAAATAAAATTATGATCAATATTGAATTTATAATGCCCAGGTAATATAAAGGTTGTCATTTTACGTTAATAGTATATATGCTTTATAACCATATGATGTATCCTTACTTGATGAATCTAATGTGACGTCCTTGTAATTTCCTCAACTCTAAGATCAGAATCATTTTCTCATTCTATTCAAGCTTTAATTTTTCCATATTTGTTGCTTGTTGACCAAGGAAATTAAAGCATCAAATTAGTTAAAGTGAGTACTGTTGTACGTACAAAAATTATAAAAGCAAATTAAAGATATGCAAGAGCAAAATTTTCAACTTACTCTTTGCCTTATAAATATTCTGCGTTGCTGCTTCAACAACAAGAATGAAAAAAGTGCAAAACTAATCATGTAAGATAAATCACTGCTTGGATGTTTCCTAAATGTTATCTTGAAATTTCATTTCCATTATGATTAATTTGACATGTTCTTTTATTAAAATATAAAGTAGATACTTGACCTTTTATATGATAAGTGTTCCTTTTTTTAATACGCGTATCTTATATTTCATCATTTCCTTTTTACTTGTTCAATTTTTTCGTTTTATTTATCATTTTTTACAAATTAAGAAATAACAATTTTTGTTTTTAGATATTATACCTTTAATTTATTAACATTAAGTAGGCATTTGTCCATGCGATACCATATCATCATCGTTTGAACATGAACTTTTAAGCTGATTTCATATTCTCCAAAAATCATGATAAATAAAAAAAAAAAGGACCGAGGAGTAGTCCTAGAGTTCATATAAAATATTGAAGTCAATTTTACACCCCTATATATTATAATAACAAAGTTTTCACTCTCCATAATTCATTTCCATTGCACAAGCACGACACATACACTGCACACGCAAATTGATGGGAGCTAAACTCACAGTTATAGAAAACAGGTGCAACCATGATATTGAAATCAGAGTTTGGGTTTCTCCGGCTCGACCTGACAAATTTCAAAGCATAATTAGAATTGAAGGTGAAGGTGGATGGAAGGAAGTAAATTCCAAAAATTTCATCCACGCAGACGCTACAATTCTTGATGATAATGATGATGATATCGAATTTGTATCGTCTACCTTGCTAATGATTTACATGGATGGTGTTTATACAGGATATTACTTTCTTCCAATTCACTTAGTGAAATACGCGAAAGTCATCTGCGACATTAATGAAGATGGACTTTTTGTTGTTCAAGGAATCAAACCAACATTCAATTTCTGCAGATTCAAGTAATTTTGTTACAACTTCATACGTTACACTTGTATTCAGTAAAGTTTTGATTGATTTATTTATGGAACATTATTTATTTTTCACAGGGGTTGTGCCTATTTCCCTTATCTTAGAGGGAACAAAAAGGAGATGATTTGAACGTGCAGTATTTATGTTTGTTATTTTGAATTAATGGAATGCACAAATTCAAAAGTATGAATTAGTTTTGATGATAGACAAAGCTATTGAAGAATCAAGTTCAACACTATAACGAAGTGATGTGTTTTCTTTGTGATGTAATTGATATTGTTCTAGGATTATTATTGAATTATAATAAATTCTAAATTGAAGTCTTGAATTGAAGGCCTGAGGTTTGTAACAAGAGGAAAAGATTGATTTTCTTGGAGACTTCCCATTAGATTATCCTTTGTGATTTGAAATCGCTCTTGAATTTAATAAAATTTGATTGCTGAAATCCTACACCATGTAGGTTGTGATTCTTATTCCTTTGAGCAGGAAGTTTTTCACGAAAAATATTGTGTTCTTTATGTTATAGCTTACGGTTCACCATACAAAAATCCAATTCCTCTCACAAGTTGTTGACACTATATATTTCATGAATTGTTTAATTCCTTTTCTTCTTACATAAAAATACACTTATTAGCATGAAATTTTAATAAATATCCGCCTAAAGATATGCATGTAATATGTCTTTATTCTATAACCAAATAAAATAAAATCAACATTCACACATAGCAAACATAAAAATAATATATTTGTCTGTTATACCTATAGTTTACATAATTGTATTTCATAACAAACATATATATGTATATAACACTATACATATACAAAACAAAGCAGTTATATAATATGTTTCTGTTTTGATATACATATACAAAAGATCAATCGTATAATCCGTGTTTGTATAAAACGAGAAAGATAGAAAAACAAAAGAAAACTTGACAGGGAACAAAGATCGTATTTGTATAATCATAAGTGTATATATAGAACAAAAATATATATATTTATATTTATATATATAATTTTCTCTTACATTATACAAATACAATCGAAATGTATACATTTGTATTTTATATAAAGTTAAAGAGGCAAGCAATATCTAAAAAAAATGGGTAGCAAAATATTGGAGAAGAGAGAGCATACAATTTGAATTAAGAAAAATTACATGAACTAATACATTTTAAAAAATAATTACTGATTTTAGCGATACTTTTTGTTTATTACCATTTATAGTAACATTGTGATAAATCTGTAATATGTATTAAAAGTGAATTGTGTATGTAATATATTTGAATTATAATTGTTTTTGAAATATATTATATTTATTTGGTAAAAAATTTTCACATTGTATTATAAGTGTATTAAAATGTATTATTAATCTTTAAAACTTGTATTATATTTGAATAAAAAATTTATCTTTCTAATATATATTAAACTTGTATTATAAATAAATTAAAAATGATCAAGTGAAAAAAAATATTATTATTATAAATAATAAATATTTTTTTATTATGAAATATTTATGTAAGTTTCCGTTTGAATTAATATTTTGCTAGTACTATTTTTCTTAAAAGAAAAAAATGAATGGGCCCGATAACTCCAAACTCCAAAAAGAGAAGCAAAAGAAAGAAAGAAAAGGACGCGTTCTTCTTTCTTTTTTTTCCCCCTTTATTCAGTAAAAGTGCGTTAGTGAATACTCTTTGTCTTTACTAACCCTACAAATTCTCTTCCGGCAAGTTTTCAGGTTCCTCCGAATCGCTCCGACGCCTTTGATGTTCACATCTTCCGGTAGTCCTGTCGCAGATGACTTTCGCCCATTTATAGAACCACACTTTCTTTAATTTGAATTCTATGTGGTAGGACGAGAGTCATCTGTGACAGGATAATGGAAGATCGAGTTATCAAAGGCTTATTGGGCGTTTCCTTTTTCATCTTGAGTTCGTACCAGGTTAATGCAAAACCGAAGAAGTAGAGCAGGTGGACATTTCATTACCATTATTCTACTACATATTGGATTGAGAATTATTTGCTTCCAATTTTGAGCCTATGCTATTGAATTTGATATTATGCTAAACACATTGTGGGTGAGTGCTGTTGGTAAAAACGTATATGGCAGATGTGCTGGATTCCAATTTATGGGAGAAAATGAAAATATATAGCAGCACTAGATGTGTTGGAGTTGAAGCAGTTATGTGGTTTGTCAATGCCGATGTATTATTCTTTGCATTTGAGCTATGTGCTACCATTTTTGTCCTTGTTATGTATGTTTAAATCCCTGAATGTGTGCGTGTTTGTGTATATATACCTACACAGAAAAATTTGAGTATTTACTCTGCAGTTGAAGGTGGTGGGTGGATTAAAGATAGTAATATACCTGGACGGATAGGTGTTATAATTGCCTCATATTTCCATAATAGAATTTGGTATAAGAATATAATGGTATCCTGACTGTCGTCTTGTAAATTATTTTTTGTTATAGGCTTTGTTAGGACTATTGCACAAAGGTATTTGGCATCTCCTAAGAAAAACTTTATTTACTGGATCAATTGATGATTAGAATAGATTTTTGATATTTATCATTAACCAATTTAGAAGGAAATCAGTTCAGACAGTTTGATTAGCAAGGGAAAAATAAATTGATTGATGAAGAGGCTTCTTAGTTTAATGTTTGTTTAAGTATTATGGACACTCTTGTAATTAATTTGAATTCAATGTGTTAGGACGTGAGTCATCTGTGACAGGATAATGGAAGATCTAGTTATCAAAAGGCTTATTCGGGCGTTTTTTCTCATGTCCAGTTCGTAGCAAAATCTCCAACTTTTGCAGAGTAGCACAGGTAGACATTTCATCACCATTACTCTATTAGATATTGAATTGAGTATTATTTGCTTCCTCTTTTGAGCGTATGCTATAGAATTAGATTTTATGTTAACACAAGTTACTATTTCTGTGTGTGTGGTGTTGAAATTTGTCTGTAAAACTAGGCTTTTTATTTAATCAATATTAAGAAGATGTGGTATGTGCTTTATCAAAAAAAGAAGATGTGGTATGTGGAGATGTGTAGGACGAGAAAATGGAAACATATAGCAGTGTTCAACTTTTTGCAGGCCTAGATGTGTTGAAGTTTCAGCAGTTTTGTGGTTTGTCAATAGTCTTTGTTTTATTAAAGATGTACTATTCTTTGCATTTGAGGTATGTGCTAACAATTTTGGGCCTTGTTATGTATGTTTGAATCCCTGAGTGTGTGCGTGTTTGTGTATATATACCTACACATATACATACACAGAAAAATTTGACTACAGTTGTAGGTGGGTGGATTTAAGATAGTAATATACGTTGACGAATTGGTGTTATAATTGCCTCATATTTCCATAATAGAATTTGTTATAAGAATATTATGGTATCCTGACAGTCGTCTTGTAAGTTAATTTTTTTTTATATAGGTTTTGTTAGGACAATTGCACAAAGTTATTAGGCATCTCCTAAGAAAAACTTGTTATTATTCCTACTGGGTCAATTGATGATTAGCATAGATCTTTGATATTTGTCATTAACCAATTTAGAAGGATATCAGTTGAGACAATTCAATTAGCAAGGGGAAAATAAATTGATTGATGAAGAGGCTTCTTATTTTAATGTTTGTTCAAGTATTATGGACACTTTGGTACTCTTGTAGGATGCCAGATTCACTCACTGCTTCACTGTGATCTATGTTTACCATGGATAACGTAATTATCAGATGTATTAGAATCTTTATCTCCAAAAAGAAGAGGAGGTTATAAAATCAAAATATCTTGCCTTCCATCCGGATCTAGCTTGTGCTCCTCACGGGTAACTCTATCCACTAATCTTATAGCTCATGGTCTCAACCTACTTCAATCCTTAAGCCATACCCTTGGGTACCCTTCCATACCCTTTTTCACGAGCCAATGCATCCTATTCAGCTGCTGCTAGCAACGCATGTCATTTTGGCCGAGTGTGAAGTTAATTATCCATCATTTGGTATTCTAAATTTAGGGAGAGCTTGACAGTTCTCTTCTGTATTATTTTCATTGCACCAAGGGTATGCTAGCTTCTCTCTTTAAGTCCAGGTTTTTCTAACTTTGTGGTGTGATTTATCATATTCTACTTGTTTTTGATGGCCAGTAAAGCCTCGAGTCATAATGCTTGCTGTGAGTACTTCCGTACGAAATGTTGAAAATTATTTAGTTAGGTAGGTAAGTTAGCTTAGTCCATCAGATTGACTTTGGAAATCCATAAATCCCAATCCTTTATCATATCTTATACCCTAAACCCAACAATAATTCTACTATGATGACAAGTTGACAACTAAGTATAATTTTTACTTTATACTAGAATGTTAGGTTATTAGAAGTTACATTTTGAAAATTAGCAACTGTTATGATATTTGTCTTCTAATCATCAGTGGATAATCTTTATTAGGTGCAACAAGATAGATACGGAATACTGATTTCTTTAGGTAGGGGAATGTAAAGTCAGCATTGAAAAAGAGTAACAAAATAAGATCCATCCCTCATATTAAGCAAATACCACATAAGTCATTTTATAATCCTTATGATCTATTATAATGAAGCTCCGAAATTGTTAGAATATTACTAAGGAATTTGTGGCTCGAGATCCAACCCTTAACACCAAAATAGATTTACATAAATAGCATTGAAAGACTTAGAAGTTGGATATTTTATTAATATAGTAGCTAAGGGTATGCAATTGGGATTAGAAGCCTTGAGTAATCTTCGAAGTACATAAAGTAAAGTTGTGAAGCAAAATCATCAGTTGCTTGTTTTCATGTACTTTCAACATATGAACAAATTTAACAGGAAACAAGAACTAATGACTGCTAAAACAATAATTCCTCTACCAATATGCAATGTAGGGCCTCGCAACCTTTCCATATCCAATGGCCTTCTTGTAAACTGGTTTGCGCATCATGCCACATTCTGCTTGAGACTGTTGCTTTACTCCATACTTGTTTGTCTGCTGTTCTCTCTCTATAGGAGCAGAATCCTTAATTCCTCTACTTGTCGATTTCCCTTCACCTTTGCTTCTACTGGACTTCTTTTTTTCAGTCTGAATCACCTTCGACTTCTTCTGTTTCCTGAATTTACTCTCAAAAGCATTGGCATCACTTTCACCCAATTCATTACCTAAATAGTCTTGTTCCCTTGATTTTCTTTTCTTTACAGAAACTTCCCTCCCGTTGTGTGCTTTTAAATCAATTGAAGTACCTTTAGCACCACGATTTTGAAAGTTACTTTGGATGAGCGATTGGTAGAGGGCATGTAGAGCACTTGTGGTATCGTCCTCACTAATGTCACAACAGTTCATGCCAGGAAGCCAGTCTAACATGGTGCAGACCCAACTCTGAGAAAGTTGATTGGGTTTTATACCATAGGGGAGAAGCCTCCGCTTCCGACATGTAGAACATAGAATCCAATCTTCTTGTATAATGAATGGAGCAAGTGGTGACTCATCCCCTGAAGTGGTCAGTTCCGGGCAGTGTGTCTTATCAGAAGTAGTGTGTGAATCACTACTCTTCGGGGCAGCAGTATTACCAGAACGAAGCTTAATCCTAATCCTAATGGGTTTGTGAGAAGAAATAGGGGTAGGGGTAGGGGAAGGGAGTTTCTGAGATATCTGTGGTTGAATTACAAGTTGATCAACCGGCAAAAACGAACCATAAACACCAAATTTTGGCCCCAACTTCTCAACAGAAACAGTTCCTTCAAAATCTTTCGTATAATTGCCCAAAACAGTTTGAAGCTTAGCATCAATGTTTATATGAGAATCGTCATATATTTCTCCTCCTTCAATTTCGTGTTCTTCTGCCATCGTAGTTTCCTAGTCCTATGCTCACAGTTCCTAAATTTCTTTGCGAAGTTCACAAAAAAATCTAATCTATATATAAAAAAAACTCCTGATTAATTTTGGTAACTTATTACCGACTAACTTATAAAATTGACACAGTTTCTAAATTTTTTTGCAAAATTACCAAAAAAAATCCGCTTAATTATAACTAATTAGGATTAGTAGTCCTAAGCCGAATCAATTTAGGAAAAACCTACCTATTAATGTGATAACTTATTAACCACTAACTAAACAACTAATAAATAGACACGTTAATTTTGTAATTAAAAATTAATTTGGTAACTTATTACCGACTAACTAAATAACTAATTCATTGGGCATCGTATTAAAATAAAATAGACACGTTAATTTTGTATGAAAACGTTAAATTTTCTTCTGCTTTCTTAAACTGTATTATTGGGTGTGGGTGTGTGTGTGGGGGGGGGGGGGGGAGGGATGAAGTATGACATACTTGTGAGTTATTTTAATTAACCGATTGTCTTTTTATTTCAATTAGTTAAATATACATTATTTTATTATTTCAATTTATACGAAGGTGTTCGACTAAACACATCAATTTAGATTTAAAAAATAAGACTATTTAGCTAAATCATCTTACAAATGACTATGTTAGTAATTTTTTTAAAAAATTAACATAAGACATAAATTTAAGGAATAATTGCATAGAATGATAAATTAATAATGTAAAATAAATACAGTAGCTATCGTTTGAATTTTTTTGTACTACATGTCAAAATATATTTTTTATACCATATAAATATAGACTACACAGATAAATAAATTTAAATTCATAATTTAAAAATTCAAATTCAAATTATTAAGAACTCTCGATTTTGCTCAAACTGAAACTATGCCAGCTCTGCTCACTGCAACTCATGCTCTATTAATTAATGTTAATTTAATGGTGGAATTCAATTTATCTACTTATCTTAGAATGTTTTTTTTAAAATATAAATAATATTGAATGATATTTGAGAAATTAATTTATTTTGAAAAAAAAAAAGAGAAGATCCTACCGAT